AGTTGGCAGGTATGCATATGTAGCGCAAAAGAAAGTAAACAAGATCGAAATATTTTTTAAATCAAATAGTTAAACGTAATGAACACTTTTTTTAACTATAATTAATACATTAAAAATGATAATATTTAATTTTTAGCATATTTTACATATCGTAGAATCTTTTTACAATGTATTTCTCTACATTTTGGCCATAAAAGAAACTTTACTAGACTCATATAATTAAATATGTACCACACAACTGTTCAAAAAGTAGACCCGAAAATTTAAATTTTCACTTAATAGCCATTGGCCGGTAGACTCCAGTAATTTAGCACTTTTTCCTCAAACCTAATGACTCTATTACCGATATCGTTACTTCCTTTTGATAGTTAATAACTAATTTTAATTAATTTAAGCAATTACTAATTTTTAATAAAGTGCATTAATTTGTGCATGTATTAATTTGTGTATATATTTTTTAATTATTTAATAATAAGTTTAATTATTTAATAATAAATTTAATTATTTAATAATAAGTTTAATTATTTAATAATAAGTTTAATTATTTAATATTAAGTTTAATTATTTAATTAATTTTAACTAATGAATAGCTCGTTAGTGTTAACTAATTTCTTATGATAATTATTTTTTAACATTTAATAGTCATTTTTTTACAAACATTTTTTGCCTGAATTAAATTATACTCTTTCTTTGAAGAAAAAAATTCATATTAGAATTAATCTACGGCTATAAAAAGTTTTGTTTAACAAAAATAAGAGAAATATGACACAAAATTTTGTTAAACATGCTGACTTTATGGAACTTTATTTAAAAACACTTGGAGAGTCAAAATATATTTAATATATATGTGATCGGTAAAGTATGAAATGCCGGCATTATATATGATACCTGATGTTTTTAGGTAAAGTATCAAGTATCATTGTCCGGTATATATTTGCCCGATACTTCAAACACTGATGTTTCTTCTTATATATCGTCAGTAAGTATTATAATATCGAATAAATGTAATTATATCCACGAATAAATTAATATAAAATCGGATGTAGTAAATATTTCGGACATTCACCAAAGCGACTATGTGATTGTCAACATTCACCGGTGAAAGTTAAAAACCACCGATTTCGGTCATTCACAGTAACGTGCACATCATTTATATAATAACCTCATCAGGACGTTTATTTCATACTTTGCCTAAATAGCACCCGGCATTACATGTAATGGCTAGGCAATGTGTGAAACATAAATCATTTCATACTTTGCCGGCTAGTTTTAGGCATTATATATAATGCCGGATTTCATACTTTACCGGTAACATATATTACAACTTCGAAACATGTGAATTGGTAAAGAACTCTTCCTCGACGTGAACCTTTTCATCACATATTTATAGATTCATATCATCACATATTTCTAGATTAAAAAATATTTCTAATGGAAGCATTGGCCAATTTATCGAAAATTTTGTTTCCTGGAGTCTTTTTGCATTGATGTACGTTTATCATAAAACGATTTTCAAAAATATAAATAAATAAGTAATAAAATGAATAAATCCATAAATAAAATAAAATAAATAAGAAATATAATAAATAAATAAAATTAAATAAATAAATAATAACGATTGGAAAAAGTGATCGGTTGCTTATTTAATGTAAGTCGCCACATTTTTTTGTTGACTCGCCATGTGGCGAGTGATTATCTTATGGTCTACCGAAAAAGCTTATTTGAATCAAATTTCTTACCTTTCTAACTATTTTTCGCTGTAATTGAAAGATTCCAACCAATGAGAGGAAAATTCAATAGCATTCAATTCGTTTTAACGAAGACAACTACTTTGAAAAATACATAATCTAAGATAGACATATGGATATTATTTTTCACATGATAAAACTGTACCAAATATTCTCCAATATATTGAAAGATGAGTCTCAAGATGATAAATAACACCTTTTTATTTTGTTCAGCCACTGTCATCGGATATATAATCTAAAGAGATGACTTAATCTAAAGTAATTACTTTATTTAATATAATGCGTACGATAAAATGCAATTATTTCAAAAAAACATTTAAAAGAAAAATATTTTAATAAGAGAATAATAGGAAGATAACTCATAAACAAAAATCTAATTTTCTGTAACATCATAATATTAAATTCAAACAGAAAAATGTTGTTCAAAATGTTGTCCGATAGATTGGACGCTGGGTCTTGTGATAAATAAGACTTTTTTTTTCATTTTGCTCTGTCACTGTCTAAAATGTAATTAGCGCAGAAGCACTTTTAAAATGAAAATATTTTAATAAGAAGATAAATCATTAACAAAAATCGAATTATTTTTTTGTGATATCATAATATGAAAAATAAACAAAAAAATGCAGCTCTGAAATAATAACATGTGTTTAAAGAAAGAAAATTGCTTACGTGAAACCTGTATACACTGTTAGAAATTTTTCAGAAAAAATGGTCAAATAAAAATTTTTTTAACTGTAATTTTACCATCTGTAAAATAACCGAGCCTGTAAAATAACCATATTAAAAGGCATTCAAACTATAAACTGTGAGAAAAATCGTTTATTGACACTTTTCCCTTTAAATAGTTTCCCCTTAACCCCTTCTTTCTCGCTCCCGTGAAAATGACGGGGTGAGGTTTCGCTCCCTATTTCTCGCTCCCGTGATATTTCCGGTCTGGAGTGTTCAGTAGTAACGCGCCAATAAGAATAAAACTAATTCATTTCTTTTGCCCGGAAAGCATTTTACTTCTCATTTTACACACTAGAGGGCAGTACCAAGATATTTTTAAGGTAATTGTAGATTGGTACAGAGAAATGAAAAGAATAAGAGATGTAGGAAGGAAACACGGTTTTACTGTCCAGATTGTGACGTTGGCATCTGTATCTCATGCTTTGAAATTTATCACACAGGAAAAATTACTAATCTTTATTTATTTTATACGTAAGTTTAATATAAATAAAGATTAATTCATTTTTAGTGTTTAAAACACATATTTTTTAAATTTTCCTTGCTTACTGGAAAACCAACATTAAGTCAATGTTGGCTTTTCCTATTTAATTATTTAAAATTTCAAGCTAAAAGCAAATCAAAAATTAAAAATGAATATATATTTCTTCATACACATATTTTTATAAAATTGACAGGGATAAAAAAATAGGCACTTTTATGACCATTTTCTTGAAAATTAACCGATCGTTAAGGGGTTAATAGTAATAAATATAATTGACACTTTCCCCCTTATAATAGTGTTAATTTTCCCCTTCAATAAAGATTATGAAGCTTCATGGCATTCCCATAGAATCATAGAGGGGGGGGGGAATGTACCATATTCTGGTAGTTTTGATTATAGTTTTTCTGAATGTATGATAACATTTGACAAATACACAAAATAAAGCTTTACAAATGGTTAAATTTGCCCTTCTAATTTAAATAATAATGCTAAGTACTGCGTTTAATTAAGCAATTTAACGTATCTTTTTAAAGAATAAGAAATAGATGATATGTGCCTATAAGTTGCCACTGCATTGAGGGATTAGTTTTAAACTTTATGTATTAAAATAATAACAATAATAACATCGATAAAATCACTAATCTTAAGTAAAAACTGAATGATACTCGTTAAAACTAAGCATAGTGAAAACATAATTTTTGAAACTTTAAGAAAAAAGAAGATAACACTACACTAGTCTTCAGCAAACACTGAATGATACTTATTAAAATAAAACGTTACGAAAATATAATTGCTTATCCTTTTACAAAAAAGGAAAAAACAAAACACTAATCTTATATGCACAGATCTTCGGTAGAAACTGAATGATACTCGTTAAAACGAAACGTAACGGGCATGTTTTGCAAACTTTTAAAAGAAAAAAAAAACATTACACTAATTTTATATGCAATAATCTTCAGTAGAAACTGAATGATAGTCGTTAAAATCAAAACAGTGAGAGAATATAATTTTTGATACTTTAAAAAAAAAAAGGAAAATAACGGTGCATTAATCTTATATGCACTAATCGCAAGGAGAAGCTGAATGATAGTCGTTAAAACAAAACATTACGAGGAAATAATTTTTGATATTTTCAAAAAAAGGAAACTAACGGTGCATTAATCTTCTATGCACTAATCTTAAATAAAAACTAAATAACGATCAATAAAACAAAACATTCCGAAGACATAATTTTTGATTCTTTAAGAAAAAGGAAAATAACATTGTGGAGCAAACCTTTTATAGTCATTTGAAATTTTTAATTTTAAAAATCTGAAAAAATACTTAGGGTCTGCAGTTCTTGTAACATTAATTAAAATTTGACTTAATTAGCTTAATTAAGAATTAACTTAATTAGCAGAATTAAAGAAATTGTGATGTAAGTTGATTTTATCATTTCCCCCAAAAAATGTTATCAGCAATTGCATATGCAGAAATCAATGAGCTGCTTCATTAATTATTTCGAATATTCTAACAATCATTTCTTCGTTTTCTTATCAATATTACTTACAGATAATTTATTTATAAATATTTTTTTATGTGGGTTGAATTTTTAAAAACATCCTAAGCTCCGAGAACACTTTCTATATTTAAATTATTAATAATAATCACAAGACTTTATCGATACGTGCAACTGAGATTTTATGATCTAATCTAGAATTACCGAACTTTCCAAGAAAATGACACACTGATAATCCATTTGCACGTTTTTGTCTGAAAAAGTATCGTAATTATCTTCATAGTCCTGTTTAATTATTGCTGATAATCAAACATAATTACCCATTCTTTCGATATTAATCATTTATTTTGATTCAATTCAATGATTATCATTTCAAGATATTTAGAAAGAATGGATTACTAAACGTCTTTCTATTTTTCCATAGAAAAAAAGGAAATGATTATTATCTGAGTTTACGTTTATTTTCATGACAATGAGACATTTCTTTAAAGATACATATCTGAAGTGTGCAGAGTCCACCCACCTTCTGCGCACGTTTTTGTTTCTTTTTTTTTTGAGTTGTCAGGTACAAGGTTCGCTTGTCACAACTGTTGATTCTATAAAGGAGGTAAAAAAGTAAACCTGCCTCACAACCTGCGAAATTAAGCTTGTGTGAATTTTTTCGTCAAACCTGTAGCTAATACATCCAATATGGCTTATTGCGGACGTAAGTTTGTTTTTCCTTAGTACAATAAACAGATGGTTAAGTCTGGAAATTTGTTTTGTTTATTTTATATTGCATTTGTAATAACATTTAAGATAAAAACTGTGCATACTTAAGATATTTAAAATCCGAATTGTATACATTGTATTTTTAATAATATTTAAAATTGAAATTGTGCTTTTTTTTAAAATTTTTTTTTAGATCATATATGTGTTTGTTATAATATTAATAATATTTTAAAGAATTTGTTTATTGCACTTTTACACTTGCATTTGTAGTTTAAAAATTTTATAGATTTTGTGCAACAAAGCTAAATTTTACATAAAGCAAAAGAAACGTCAGAAAAACGCTGAGATATATATTGCAATAACTTTTGAAAAAATTAAAATTTTAAAAAATCTCTATATTATGCTCATAATATAGTTCATTCAGTATACCAAATTTCATCTCTGTAGTTGTATTCCTGTGGCCTACAGAGAGGCTCGTGTTGTATTTTTTACGTCAATTCATAATTCTGGAAATCAATAATTCAATTCAATTAATAATTCTAGAAATACTTTACGCCAATACGTCTTTAAAAGAAATTACATCAATTGTTAATTCTAGAAATAATTATGGAATATTATTTTTAACGCATCGCACTTCCTGTACAATTTTCTCCGATCCAACGTAATTTCAAGTTTCTGAGTCTCTAAGATTTTAAGCAAAAATATAAAATTTAACGTTAAATTGACCGACTAAAACAGTGGCGGCTGCCCTTAATATTTTAGAAAGCTTGAGAATTCAAGATTTAGTTTCTTAAGTGGCAATTGTTTAGTAAACCAACGCTAAAGAGTTTTATTTTGTTATTCTAAATATCCACAAGTTTTTACTAATATATATGTATACAAACATTCTCTATTTTCTTCAATATTTTACTTAATACATTTTTTTTGGCCAATTTAAAAAATGAAATTAACTTATATAATCCATGCAGCAATTTTTTTTGCGTTATGTCTATTATTATATGTACACATTATGTCTATTATACCTACACATTATGCCTTATGTTATACGTTCACATTATCCCGATTATTATTCATGCACATTATACCTATGATGCATATACATTAGGCCTATTGTTATACATAGGCATTGTATCTATTATAGTGCATATATATTATACATACACATATGGGAAATACCTCCATACTAACCAATAGGTATTGCCATCAAAAGTAATTTTTCTTAGTGTTAGGAAATGACGGTTAAATTACAAGTGCTGGTAAAATATTTATTTACTTTGTCCGAATCTAAACTCACCATTATATGATTATCATGTCTTTTTATGTATGCTTCATTTGTTTGTATTTAATGGTAGTCACAATGATTTCAAATTAAATTTATAAATCCAAATATTTACCAGAATAAATGTTATCGGAACTTTAAATATTATACAATCCATACATTTAGAGGTAGATGATCTTAGATTACAATCTAAATAAACGCAAGTTTTGGCTTCAAAATATGATGTGGTAAACATGCCAAGGTAATAAATTGAATGTTAGAATGTGTTTCGGAACCAACAATAGCTAAAATAATAACATAAGCAACGAATTTAGAAGTATAAGTTGTCAAACTACAGAAAAAAAACCTTTGAGGGCCAAGGCTTTCTGTGCTCTTCTTGGTTTTTTTGAACCTGGGTTCGAGATGTAGGAGCAGATGTTTACATTGGATGGCTAGCCGAATGCGATTACCCCAGTGTGTTTTGTCCTGAGGCATGATTGATACTCATTTACCGAACCACTAGGGGAATAAAAGGCTGAATCAACCTTGCCGAGTCGGGGGATAGAACCCAGGACTTAATTCCAAACAAAAGTTGAAATAAATACAAGAAAGACCATCATGACCACTGTTAGGAGAAAATTTAAGAAGGAGATATTGATATTAACAGAAACTAAAATTAAATTTTTAATAATTGTATTTAAATGTCATTGTTGTACGATTTTTGTAAACGAAACTAGAATTTGGAATAAATATCTAGACCTAAAGATAAAAAAAAATTGCTGTTTAAGTAAATAACAGAAGAATTAATTATAAAAAACAATTAAAAATCAGAAGTATCTTTGGCTGAAATGGATTACTGATTCTTGTATAGTTACACAGTTTTTTCTGTAGTTTTATACTTTTGCCTTTATTTCTTCTTATAGATGTACTTTGTTTCTTTCATGGCTATTACTGACACTGTATAATCTTTCTCAGCGTTGTGACCAATACATTCATCTCCTCTATTCTCCCAAAACTATCAGATATCTTACGATTTAAATATGGCCATTTCTAGCAAGAACCATTGCTGTACAGTGCGCCAAAAAAAAAAAAAACGGACCACCCTGAATACCTTTTGATTTAATGATTGGTCTTCAAGTTCTAGGACACAATCTTAATGGATCGAGGGGGTGACCTCAAATATGCTAATTAGTAAGTGCAGACGATCTTTCAAGTTACAAAATAAGACACAAAAATGCACTTCTCCGAATAAACATGCCTCTTTTTCAATGGATTCAGATTCCTGACACACAAAATCAAGAAGGTAGCCGCAACCTGGGAAATAAGGTTCCAACAGCGCTCCAAAGTTTGGATCCCTTTATGTTAGTTTTACTTTTTACGTATTTTGCTATATCTCGAGAATTTTTCAAGTGCATTGAAAAAGCTTTGCACATGAGTATAAAATTCGTTTATGCAAAGTCGATTTAGCAAATAGTTAGTATTCTTTTATTATTTTATCTAATAATGGCCAAAAAAAGATTTGAATTGTAGTAAGGTATAAAATTTTTTGCGTAATTTTAAACAATATAATTTTGCACGAAGAAATACAAATTTGACAAAATCGGCTGAATAATTCCTGATAAATTGAATTTTAACAATGTCAGATACTTAAAATTAAATTTCTCAAGACTGATTATACGACTGCTTTTGCTCAACTTTTGTATTCTGCCCCGTAAAATTACATTTTTTAAAATGAGGGGACTATTTGTATACCTCACAATCTAAAATTTCTTCGATAATTATTGAATTACGAATTTTATAATTGTGTGCAAAGCATTTTCAATTCGCCTAAAAAGTTCTCGATATATAGCGAAATACGCAAAAAGTGAAATTAATATGAAGTTGTTGAAACTTTGGAGAGCTCTCCTGACGAAACTATTGGGACCATGTTTCTCAGAGTTTGGTTAACCACTATATTTTTGGTGGATCAGAAATCCGAATCCGTTGAAAATAATGCATGTTAATTCAGAGAAAGTACGTTTCGCGTCTGATTTCGTAAATTTAAATATCGTCTGGACTAATTTATTAGCATATTTGAGGTCACCCCTTCAAACTATTAAGAATGAGTCCAAGAACGTGAAGATCCAATCACTAGGCTAAACGTTATTCAGGGTGGTCCATTTTTTGACGCACTGTACATTTCATTAATCAAGGCTTGTAACTTATGAGAAATCATTTAATATTTAAAATATTATGTGCTAATGCCTTTTCTTAGGCTTTGGTAACACCTGCCTTGAAAAAACAGAAAAATAGCTGTTTTGCATATGAAGCTCGTGACAATCCGCTTTCACATTCGTATTGATATTTCAATACTATTGTTGCACAACTACCTCGAATTTTAGCCAACATACTGTACACCCTCCCCCCCAACTCTATGTGCGATGTATCTCCAATAACGTAAATTCTTTTAGTTTTAACCATACACTGAGAAAAATATATGATCAACACTATCAAAATATAGTTAAATTTACCACATTTCTGGACTGCACTGAAAAGCTCGGTAATTTTTACTAATGCGCTTTGGTAATGATTTTGGAAAAATTAACGATAAAATTTGGTTTTATAATAAGTGATTAAATTTGGCAAATTTATCATAAATCAAATAGAGCATAATGGCATAAAAACCATTTCTTGAGTTAATTTTTTTTCTTCAATTTTTTATTTTTTCTTAGATGTGTGATAATAAGAAATATAATTTTGTAAACCAGAAATTCCGGTCAAAATGAATGGTTTAAATACCGTATATTGTGGTTTTTCATAATAAAATTATGTCGGTTTTAGTAGAAATGTCATTACTATACAATACAGCAATTTTACCAGAATTTCTTAGCTTCGTGTGATAATAAACCAAAATAATAATTTCTTATCATTAAAAACGAGAGAGAGAGAGAGAGTTAGAGAGCATTTTTTTAAATAAATTGAAATTTACGAATTTCTCTCTGAACTTAAATAGAAAATAAAAATGATTTATATTATAATTCAGAAGCTATAAAATTTATGATAAATCCTTATACAATATTTCAGTATCCCACCCATTAAATATTATCTTAAAAAAACTTCTTATCAGAATATATCGTTACATGAATGTAATAGTTGGATTTCTAGATCCGTTAAAATGGTATGACTTATTATTTTATCAATTTCCGTTTATTATGATGTGAAATGTCTGACACGCGGAATTGATAAGAGAGCTTCTTATCAGTTATTTTAAGTCTTGGGGAGTTTTTTTGACCGCTATCTCCTTCATTCCTTCAATTTTTTTACAAGAGTCTTATCGCGTGGAATACAGAGGAGTTGTTATCGATACCGATAATTATAATACTGTTTCTGTAAGATAAAATAAAAAACTTCCACTTCAAATATCCACCCTCCAATCAAGGTGACTTTATCTTGATTTTATTATTCAGTTTTCTTAAATTGGAAATTTTTTTTTACTAAAAAAAGAGAGTAAAAGGTAGCAGTTTCAAGAATTGCACAGAAAGTTATAGAAACAAATCAAGAAATTTTCAATACAGTGGTCAGTTGTAACATTTTTAACAAAGACCACTTTTTGTTTTTGAAAATTTGTCAAATAGTTAAAAAACTGTTGACATTATTAATGTAAAGCATTGCTTTTTAAGAACTTCTCAGAATGTGGTAAACACTACAATTATTAATTTCAAAAATGAAAAGAAGTTTAAAGAACTAAGCGCTAAATAAAGGAATCATGTTATAAAATATTTATAATATTTATAATAAAATATAATCTATTAAAAAAGTGGTGATCAGGTGGTGATTAGAATATAACTTTTTAATTTCTATTTGTTATATTTATTCGCCATGTAAACGTTGCCGACAGTTTATTTTGCCCTATACCTGAAGTAAAATCTCCATACTGTAATAAAAGTTTTTTTTTCTAAATTAAAGTTTGCAGTAAGTATTCGAATTTAAAGTTTCCACTTTTTGAAAGTAATACAATTTTCAGAAATCATTATTTGCTTTTAAATGGTTCATTAAAAATACACAAAATAAAAAACAGACCACTCTGAATAACAATTGATCTAATGATTGGATTTTAACGTTTTAGGACTCAATGGTTAGGATTTAATGGTTCAAGTGGGGGACCTCAAATATGCTAATTAATAAGAGCAAACGATATTTTAATTTACGAAATCAGACAAAAAACTCTATTTACCTGAATAAACATACTGTTTATATATATATATA